TAATTATGTAAGTTTATCAACTCTTAAAAAGCTTTATTATGCTCTTGTTTATCCTTTTTTGACATATGGAATTTTGGTATGGGGATGCACATATCAGACTACTCTTCAGCCATTGTTCATTTTACAAAAGAAAGCTATGCGTATTCTAACTAATTCTAGTTTTCACGAACATACTAGCCCGCTTTTTAAAGATATTAATTTTCTAAAACTGTGTGATCTTGTGTCCTTTCATATTGCCTTATTCACGTATAAATTTCATAACCAGTTGTTGCCACCTATTTTTGATAATTTCTTCTCCACTGTAGTTAACCAACATAACCATGGTACTAGATTATCTTCGAAGCAGTCATTTTTGCTTCCCAAAGCTAGAACTAATTATGGAATTTTTAATATCAGATTCCAAGGAGCTCAAATATGGAATTCTATTGCGGAAAATGTTAAATTTCATTCTTTAAAAAAATTTAAACAAATAGTGAAAGCAACCTTTCTCCAAAGTTATTGATTTTTCTTATATAACAACGTTTTTGCAGTTCATAAATTTTTCATTGCGAGATTACTTAGGCTTTGTCCTTTTTTGTCGTCGTTTGTCTTTGTTTTTGGTGTAATGTATTTTGAATAGATGACTTGTTAAAACAAACTGACCGCCAGATCTTTTAGCCCTTTGGTTATTTTGGCTGTCAGTGCTCATTAAATAGTCATATAAATATGAGTGTGTGTAAATAATATTCTATAATTTGTTATGAGTAATAAACTGTTATTGTTGTTGTTGTTGTTGTTGTTGTATTTGTATCGCGCGGTGGAGACACTGGGCGCGCAAATGTTGATGCTTTCTATATATTTACTATTGAATTTTCGAAATCTCCGGAGCGCAATTTCCAAACTTTCCAGTCAGTAATAATATTTTGGTCTTTTGGATCTACATAAATTAAACTTAAAGTCAGACATCGCCTGCTTCTTTTGAGTCCTATTCCTATTAAATAGCATTGGGACATTAAGGTTCATTGGGACAAAATGTATTACCAAAAGCTGAAAAGGAGGAACTCAATTTCCTGATATCGTGTGGAAGTAACATAGAATCTTTCTTGGCCCAATAACATATATTATTATTCCATGCAGATCGCCGCCTCTATACTGCACAGGCGCACTGGTATGTAGATTAGTAGATATGACTGAATCGTTATTGCTATACATAATACAGTAGATTAGATTAGAGACTTTATTTCAAGAGGGTAACACTTGACATTAATAAAAATGATAAACCTGTGGCCCTCCATATTCCTAATTACAAAAATATACACCCAATGAACTATACTGAATAGACAATGCTAAATCTATTTACATTTAGTAGGTAATTATACTCATGCTATATTTACATTATACTAAGAATATTTAAGATAAAATAAGTCAAAGAGCTAGAAAAGATTCAAAAGTAAGCGTCTTTCGCTGCTTTGTTAAAAAGTATTTAAGAAAGTTTCTTTTAAAAATACTTGGACTATGACTTTTCTTTAAGTCACTGGTAATACTGTTCCAAGCCTTGATAGTCTTAACAGTAAACGTACGCCCCCCCTCAGTCTCTCTTTTGTATCTTGGGCAATTTAAATTTAGTTTCGAGTACCTAGTGTTCCTATTATGAATATCACAATTTCTTATAAGTAGATCGTTAATATAAGTCGGTGCTAATCCGTTTATTCGTTTATAAACTAAGGTACAGCGGTTTATGTGGGCCTCGATGTAAAATGGCAGCCAACCGAGCGTGTTAAACAGATCCACAGAGCAGGCTCTACGATCAGCATCCAATATTACTCTTGCAGCTCGTTTTTGCAATTTGAGCACTATTTGTAGATCATCTTGTTTGCAGGAGCACCATACAGTACTACCATAGAGTAAAACAGGTTTGATTATTGCAGAGTAATATATCTCACGTTGTTTTTGTTTCAAATATGGACATATATGGCGAAGAAGACCAACAGTCGCTTGGTAATCTCCTCTCACGAGGCATTATTGTATTACACAGACGTTATAATGTGTTTAGTTTCGAAGGGAAGAATATTCTTGCCTTCCAGCCTTCGACGCACCGGTTGGTAACATTACACCAGCCGATCTGTGTAATGACAACAGGATAAACGCTTATAATTTTAACACATACGATAGATACTGTATACTATATGACTATTAAAACAACATTGCTACATGGTTGTACTTGTTTTAACTATTAGCGCTAACTGCCAGGCAAACTGCAAACTTCAAGATTCAATGTTTTCGGAAAAGCAAACACGCTGTTCTTAAAGACTAGTTTCCATTTGGTCGTTAGTTGTCGCTGGCACGACAAGAGGTAGATGTGAAATAGTCTAATATCAATAGTCTTTTTGTGTGTTATATATGCAAATCAGTCTTAAAGATTGCAGAGTTTTATAAAGTTTTGTTGACACTCTATTACATCAGCCACTTGTCGTGCCAGCGACAACTAACGACCAAATGGAAACTAGGCTTAAAGCCTAGTTTCCATTTGGTCGTTAGTTGTCGCTGGTACGACAAGTGGCTGATGTAATAGAGTGTCAACAAAACTTTATAAAACTCTGCAATCATTAAGACTGATTTGCATATAACACACAAAAAGACTATTGATATTAGACTATTTCACATCTACCGCTTGTCGTGCCAGCGACAACTAACGACCAAATGGAAACTAGGCTTAAGTGGTATCACTTGTGCTTAAAATTGCATATTTACATCGCCCCAGCGACTTTACGCTCCGTGGAGCGTTTTGTTTTAATTAAAACAGTGCCAGAGAAACAGTTGTGTGACTTGACTTCCACTATACGTTTCGCTAGCGCTAACACTCGCAGGTTGAATACGCACTTTAGTGGTCAATAAGGTAGATTAAGCTCATCTAATTGGTGAATGGAAGTACAATACCGCTTAAAATGTCACCTGTATTTGTGATTGCGAACTACTCATGCATGTCACTATTATCGCAAATCCCATCTAATTGCAGCTACTGCTGTCATTTCGCGTTGTTGAAGTTGAAAGCGAGTCGTGCATGGCCTTGATTTTACTGTTTATACATTTTACAAATCACTTATAAAATATGCTCATTATACCCTATATTAAAATCAGCTATCAAAGTTTAGTACATAATGCACGTGAGACAACGAAATGTTGTGATACACCGATAAACCATTGACTTGAAAATTGTTTCATCCGTTCTACTGAATAAAAATTGCTTGATTTGTTTTTGATTTTAAACAACAACGAAACAGAATATAAATCTCAACGGCCGTGCACGAAGTAATGATGATGTTGCGCGATCCATATTATTTTGTTGAGCACAATGACCGGTTTGGGTGTCAAACAGCTTTGTTTGGTTTTAAATTAATCAGTTTATTAGCTCTTTAGTAGCCTACAGTACATGTTATTTCGTTTATATTTATCGTAAAATAGGGCTCTTTTTTGAACTTGGTTCGTTGATATTATAATATAGTAGCAGGTGGGTGAATCAATATCGAATCGGTTCGAAAAGAGCCAAAGGTTGTACTCCAGTAAAATATCTCATGTGCCGTCAACCCAATCGGCATTGTTTCATCCAATATTTGATTCTCAAACATTTAACAAATATTATGTTAAATACAATGCGGAATATTATAGAGCTTAGCCACCAAAAAACAGTAAACTGAATTTCGGTCTTTGGTAAAACAATTATAATTTCTACATACAGTATGGTTGTTTGGAGATCGACCGCACATGTGTGCTGGATGACTTGAAAGTGTTAAGGTTTAACGGATCTGTTTCAGAATAATCGATTCGCCCTTATAGATATAAGCACAAGCCGGAATCAAACGAGGACGCGAGTGCATGAGAGCTGTCTTAATGTTAAAATACCATGAAACCTTTAGTTTGATAATCCAGAGCTTGAAATGCTGTCTGTAACATTTCGTGATTTCGAACTGCTCATGCACGACACTATAATCAAACGTCCTAATTGAAATCGCAGATGTTGCCGTCATTTCGAGTTTGTTGAAGGCGTGCACGCCTTTGCTGTGATCTTTACACTATATACATTTCATTGTCACTAAACCTTAACAAAAACAGCCATCAAAGTTTAGTACATGATACAAGTCTCGGAAAGAGTAAAGCCAACTTACATTTGATATCGTGTGGAGCTAGTGTTGCCGATAAACCAGTAACTCAAGATCGCTGCTATCCGTTCTACTCAATCAAAATTGGTTGATTTGTTCATTATAAAAGAACGAAACCAAACACAACTCTCAAAGATGCACGATATAACGTATATTGCACGATCTACATTAGTCTTTAGAGCACGCTAATGTATTCTGTAGAGCACCACGCTGATGTGTGTCAAACAGTTTTGTTAGGATTTGACGAAGCATAACTAATGTTATTTTAATTCGGCTATTAGCTATTTACAATATTATTTCGTTTAGATTTATCGTAAAATAGACTTCATATTGAAATTGTTGTTCGCGTGCAGATATTAAAATACAGTAGCAGGAGGGTAATTGCATTCAAACCGAATCACTTTGAAATGAACTTTCGAAATGACAAACTTCGCCAAACGAGGAGCAAAAGTCTGTAGTCAAGCATAATATCTCAAAATATCTTTGATGTATCAAAAAAGTAACTATATGCTTAAAATATTTCCCGAGCATTTACCAAAATTCTAAAAGCAGATATTACTGCCGAGAATGGGACTAGAATTAAATTGAGCTTGGCAGTGTTGTATCGAGTTTAGTGATTGACTCGGCCTGGAATCGTTATTTTCAGCGATTCGAGTCCAATACGAGAAATTACTCGATTCAGTCAATATATGATTTCACTCTGACAGAGTCGGAATTGACATGTTGATTGCTGATGCATGAATGACTTGAGTCAACTTGGCCGCAACTTGCACATCAGTACATACTAAGTTTATCAAAATTATTGTGTTTGTGATGTTACTCTGAGTGTGTGTATCCACACCGGGCAAGCTTGAAAAATATGCCTGGCCACGGTGGGAATCGAACCTACGACCTTTGGAATACTAGCCCAATGCTCTGCCAACTGAGCTATATACGCGGTCAGGTCGGTTTGAGTGTGCGGTATTTTGGTCTAGTTCCTTCGACATCAATGTAATCTAATAGTCATGATTTTTTGTGTTGGTGTTGTGTACTCAGCTGAATATGGTGTTTGTGATGCTACTTTGAGTGTGTATCCAAACCGGGCATGCTTGAAAAATATGCCTGGCCTCGGTGGGAATCGAATTTTCGACCTTTGGAATACTAGCCCAATGCTCTGCCAACGCGGTCAGGTTGGTTTGAGCATGTGATATTTCGGAACTGAGTTTAGTTCCTAGACTAGAATTAGACTCAGTTCCGAAATATCACGTGCTCCAAATCCATATCACAAGCTCCATATCATATGCTCTAATTACAAATTAGCGAAATATATTGCAAAATGTAGTTTATATTTAATCGCCATGCACCCGATTGCAATATCGGCGAACTGACATATAGTTATATTATAAGTATACTTATAGTTAGTCCCGTGACGTGACAAAATGTTTGCTTTTCAACCAAACGCAATTTTTTTTGTAAGACTGTTCCCCTAGTAGCATACATTTAACAAGCTGAAAATCAATTTTTGGGGTTACTGGCACATTATAAACTATATATTGCATAAAAAAATTTTGGCAATAAGGTTAAAAAAACTATGATTTACAGCTACAAAAAGTGGTCATATGATGGCAACCTAATTTGCCCCCACCCTACCTTTCGTGAAGCGTTCGCCACATTGAGCGTCATTATACTTTCCATCTCATAAATATTCAAGTACAGTAATTTAATATTCGCTGTATGTTGCTCCCTAATGTGGAATCTATATTTAGTCAGTGGGGCCACCTGTGGTGCCCACCGACTCTAGGTTTGCCCTTTGGTACGCCACAAAATGACAAATTACGTCATCAGTCAATTACGTAATTCTTACGAATTAAAAATCAAAATGGCGACCATGGAATAGCGTGCAAAAGTTCGTTATTGACTATTTGGTCCAGTCGTGTAATTTCATTTGGGATTTTTGAAATAAATATATTAAGAATTCACTAAAAGTTATCACGACGTTTCACTGTTATGTTATCGAGGAGGGAAGTAGATAATTTGTACATAATTTTATACGCGCGGCGGAGATATCGAGCGCGGCGCAAATTTTGATGCTTTCTATATATTTACTATTGAATTTTTGAAATCTCCGGAGCGCAATTTCCAAACTTTCCAGTCAGTAATAATATTTTGGTCGTTTGGATCTACATAAATTAAATTTAAAGTCAGACATCGCCTGCTTCTTTTGAGTCTACATCCTATTCCTATTAAATAGCATTGAAGGATTAAGGTTCATTGGGACAAAATGTATTACCAAAAGCTGAAAAGGAGGAACTCAATTTCCTGATATCGTGTGGAAGTAACATGGAATCTTTCTTGGCACAATAACATATATTATTATTCCATGCAGATCGCCGCCTTTTATACTGCACAGTGCGCACTGGTATGTAGATTAGTAGATATGACTAAAGCGTTATTGCTATACATAATACAGTCGCTTGGTAATCTCCTCTGACGAGGCATTATCGTATTACACAGACGTTATAATGCGTTTAGTTTCGAAGGGAAGAATATTCTTGCCTTCCAGCCTTCGACGCACCAGTTGGTAACATAACACCAGCCGATCTGTGTAATGACAACAGGATAAACGCTTATAATTTTAACACATACGATAGATATACTGTATACTATATGACTATTAATTGCACATGATTGTACTTGTTTTAACTATTAGCGCTAACTGCCAGGCAAACTGCAAACTTCAAGAATCAATATTTTCGGAAAAACAAGCACGCTCTTCTTTAGTGATATTACAATTGTGCTTAAAGTTGCATATTTCCATCGCCCCAGCGACTTAGCGCTCCGTGGAGCCTCTTGTTTTTTCATGATTTGAGCCGAATGAATTCAATTAATGGCTAAAATAACATCAAAGGGTGTCGGTGTGGCGCTCTGGCCGTTCCGGCATCACTGATAACAACACCTGAAGATCAAGTTGCACTTGTCGAAGAACTCCCTAAGTTTGCTTGTGTTTCCCGCCCTATAGATTGCCGATTTCCAAAACATTTCCGTTTCTTGGAGTAGCCTGAATGAGTCTTCGCCATTTTAGTTTATATTCTCCAAAAATTACAATTAAGTGTAGCTACATGCGGATGGGGTTAATATTTCTTCTTATTTATTTACTTATATTAATTTTATTAATATATGTTCAGTATATATACGATTTGTATTTTGGGTTTCATGTAATTTAATCCATGTTATAAGATTTATGTTACAGTCAATTCTGTTGTTCCTTTTCTAACAACATTGCACCATTGTCACGCAATATTACGGCGCTTTCATCCTCACTTCAAAAATTGCTAATCACCATCTTGTTTTCTTTAAGTACCATATTTCTTCCTCTATGCTTTCAGATCATTTGTAAATAGTCTGTATGTTTTCTTAATATCTATTCCTCCTTTTTTTGGGGGGGAGGGAAAAATTCCTTAAATAGTCCCACATAACAAATTTTTCCCCGGAAAGGTTGCGCTTGACACCACAAAAAAACATTATTGACAGTGAACTTGGATGTTTTCGGGGGGCTTGTGTTCTTTGCGCCCAGTTCTTAAATATTCGTTGCACGCGTCGCAGTAAGTTATTAAGATTCTTGCCAATTCCTTTTGAACGATGCTCTTTCATGTTCGCACAGCATTAGGATGACAAAGTTGGAATAAAATTTTGGAATTAAGGCCTAAATGCTTATATGAGGACCGTAATGGAATGGTTTATAAAATCCTTTGGACTTTGGTGAGTAGCTTTGTAGTTAACAACATTTAAATGTACTTGCCGATGGGTTTAGTATTTCTTCTTATTTTTTTGCATATATTATTTTAATTAATATAATTTCAGTATATATACTATTTGTATTTTGCTTTTTATGTAATTTATCCCCGAGCCGACGGCGCGAAGCGCCGTGCGAGGGTACTAATTCCCCTCCGCCGTTAAAGAGCACTTTAAAACGTTTTGCGAAGCGTTTGTGGTTGAATTTTACCTTAAATTGAGGCTTATATTACGTATAATAACATACCAAAGATATATATGTTGGGAAATTAATGATTTGTAATTAAAAGTGATATTTTTAGGCGATTTTTCATTTGTAAGAATATTCTTAAAAAATTATCGTGTTACCATGACAACTATTTTAGAACTTCATGTTCGGAACATACAATGGTTTTGTCAGCAAGGCGAGGGTTTCTGCATGCATGTATTTTCTAGTTCTATGTTATAAGACTTTTGTTACAGTGAAATCCTGTGTTTTGTTGTCGGCAACATTGCACCACTCAGTGCCACGCAATACTGCAATATTGATTCGCTGTTGCTCTAGCAAATTGCAACCGACGAGAACAAGTTTGCAATTGTTTACGTGTTTAGTGCTTCAGTTCATCCTCTCTTCAAAAATTGCTAATCCTTTACCTTAACAATCTTGGCATATTTAAAAACCATCTATTTTCTGGTATACTTTTAGATAATCTACGAATAGGCTGTGTGTTTTCTTAAGATTTATTCGTCTTGGTTGCTCCATGATTACTAGTCATCTTGTTTCCGTCTGTCTTCTCCAACATCAATGCAATTGGTATTTCCGTCATGCAAAAATCAACAGGAGAATAGCTAAAGCCTTGTAAGAACCTATTTCGGATGTTTATCTATCTGCTTATTCTCACTTCTCCTTTGTCTGCGATCTCTAACCTTGTTCTTCATCCCTCTATCAGTCGGCTTAGTACATTCATCATTTTTTCCGGCACTCCCATCCATCGATAAACTCGAAGCATCCATTCATATCTAACCATATCGTACGCCTTACGATAATTGTAGAATGCTACAGCAAAATTTCGCTTCTTCTTTCTCGCTTTGTCCATAATGTTGTCGTCCACAATAAATGTAACTGTTCTTAATACGCCAGAACATATTTCAACTTGATTTCTGTCCAAGATGGGTTTTTTCTGCATGCTTTCCTTTCCCGGGGTCTAAACAACCGTACGGAATTAGTACCCTCACCACGAGCTTACCCGGAACGGCGCTCGGCGCCGCTGGCTTTGGGAGAAAGGGTAAGAGCTTGTGAGTATTTGTGCGAGAAATACATTATATGTTTTGCATAATTTTCCTTAAACAATGAAAATATGTATTATATCTCTTTTCTTCAGGGCCGTAACTTCACGCGATAATGGGGTATCATATATTCATGTTCACACACCGTAAAAACAATCGGTTTCAAAAGAAACTCGTCGGGCAGAACACTAATATCTTCTCAGAACCCCCCCCCCCCCATAAAAAACAATGCATTATAGTCGCCCGGACTTCAGCTATTTAGTTAAATTTATTCAAAAGTCCATAATCATTTCTATATTCAGCTTAAGCTTTCCAACGTTGAAAACGTTCGCATCACTGACCTGTTACCAAGCAATATTCAATATTTACTCAGATATTTACATCAACACATTGTTACCGGAATAGTTTTCATTTTTTTTTTGCGGGTGGGGGGGATGGAAGGGGAAAGTTATATCAATGGTCCAACATAAAAAAATTTTCCCCGGAAATAATCGGGCAGATAGAAGGAAAAAACTTACTATATCATGGGGCAATTCCATTGTGCCTTCATATTGTGCCCTGAAGGCTAATAAGTGCGTTTCTGTATGTTTGCCGCGTTAAAAATTCTTGTCGACTCCTGCCGACACGTTTTTCTTCGAATTTTTTATTAAACTCTATTACAGTTAAAAAATGTGAAATTTCTGATACATTTCTAATATACAAATGTCTTACCACATTTGAAAGCTTGCACAAAACTACATATAAGACTTTTAAACGGTCACCCGGGATTTTCATGTTCTTCTTTAGTTATGACCTGTTGAATGCGTATTTTCAAACTAGTACCCATGAATTTTGCGAGATTTTGGCTTATTTTTCACATTTAACACAGCAATAACTCGAAGACCGCTTGAAAATCCCGACTAAC